TTTTATTGGACAATGCAATTACTTAGTTAGAACGATGAACTATAGTTTTTTAACACTTAGCATATAAACATTATCTTAATCCATCCGTGAAACAATACAACAATGAACATAATAATGTAGAGACAATGAACCCCATACACCTAGATTTTATACAAATTTAATATGACTTTTTAGCATTTTTAATTTATTGTAATTTGTTTATCAATGAACTTGCCATGTAACATCTTCGATCGGCATTCGCCTGACGATTGCTTCAGCAGAAGCATGAAACTCGGAGTAGCGATTAAATGTTTTTAAATTAAGAAGTCTCCCTTAACTCTACATAGCTCTAGTATACCTATTGAGCGCTTTTAATACACGTTCATGAGGTCTACACACCACAACCTGTTATATATATATATATATATATATATATATATATATATATATATATATATATATATATATATATATATATATATATATATATATATATATATATATATACAAAACGAGGCTGAGACGTAGGTGTGACTTCACCGCTCAAGCTGCTTCAGAACGCCTAGCAGATTTCAGTATTTTTAATATGGCGGAAAATTTATACAGTATGCAAATAACCTTGTAAACACAACAATCTTCGTTGATCATGTTCGATGTCTACATAACCAAATTCAAACTGTATTAAAAACGTGTTCAATTAAAAAAAATTATATACAAATTTACGATACTGAGTCTGAGCAATGGCCGTATAATCGTTGATGTTATTTCTATACTCGCACGTTGTGATCAACACTAGACCGTACTGGTATACACAACTACCGTAACGCTTTGTACTTGACAGGTTTATACAGCTGTGGAGATTGGAAATATTTGCCTGACATGACTCTGTTGTCAAAACATTTTTAGCCGGAGACTCGGCATAATTTTCAAACAGTTTTAGATAGCATTTAATATGACTTTATAGTTTAGTAAGCACGAGTCATGTTTAGTCCGTTATTCCATTCTAACCGTATGGTAGCAAAACGTAGCCTATTTCATTATTCCGAGAGCATTAGGGCAAAACTAATGACTTAATTATAAACGCAAAGGAATTTTTCCATAACATTTTCTATTTACAAATGCGATATGCTTGGTAACCAGGCCAGGGACCGTTTTTGCGAAATCAGGGACCATTTTACCGAAATCTGCTAGGCTCTTTCGCTGAAGCGTTCCGCACAGAACACCCAGGCATAAAACTTTTATAATTATTCCTATTATTATTATTATTATTATTGTTGTTATTATTATTATTATTATAATTATTATTATTATTATTATTATTATTATACTGTTGCTACGATATCTAAAACTTGGGTAGTCGAAAATATCGATTCTCCGGTGAACAAGTACCTCCGAAAATGGCTGGAAGTACCTATATCTGGAACATTAAGTAACATCTTTCTAACCCGTAATAAGTTTGGCGTAAATATCATCCCTGCATCCGTCAAGTTCATTCAGTGCCAAACAGTTCCACGCAATGCCTAGACTTTCCAAAGTCCTTTCCAGGCCCTTCTATGGCACGCTTCACTTCCTCTGTGGAAGGACTTTTGTCACTTGCAGCGCGCCAAATATCACCGGGGGAAAAATCCACCGGTGACGTCATTGTTTACATGGAACGTCGAAGCGGTTATATTATCGGTCATTATCGAAGGAGTCTAACAATATTATATTCTCAGGTTCTTTGTTGAACAAATATCTATTATTGAAGCAAACAGAGTAAACAATGTAATTACAATTTTGTAGAACACAAAAACCATGTTAAAATACACAAACAGACATTACATTGAGAACTAGAAGTTACTATCGCAAGGAAAGTGCTGCCTCACCCCCAAGGGGTCAAAGGCAGCATGCACAATTTGCTGAATACGGCGATGTTTTTATGATCCCGCTTTGCCAGGATGATATATGAGGCGGGATGATTTAGATGTATTTAAATAAGTCACGGTGTACACTTCAGCAAAAAACTTTATTATTTTCGAGAGATAGCAATAGTTATCTGTAAACTGAAAGGTTGTTCAAGCAGCCATAAGAATCTTCTTGAACTACAAGATCTGCTCTACACCATTTGAGTTTTGTTAGCCAGCATTTGGATTTTCGTTTAGCCTATGGACGTATTTCAATACATCAAAATCATCCCACATTCCATCATGTAAACAACACCTTAGCCTAAGATGCCTGTTCAGGAGGTAGGGAAAGTGCAATTTGAATACCAAACACCTTGCACAAAGTCAAAAGTCAGCTAAATATTCTAATTCTACTTTCTTGGCATGCCAAATTTATGTGAATTCCTTCAATGCTTATAACTTCTTGTTTTTGTATGTATAATTATAATTACTGTCAACACTGGTGAAGCTAGCCATAGTAACAGCTAGGTCATGCTATGGTTTTTAATGATTTGCATTGCAGGTCTATTAGCATACCATGACCAGTTACCATGGCTAGCTTGCCACTCAATACTGAACAATAATAGTTATAATACCATATGTATGTATAAACAATAATAATACTTGAATGAATCATTGGACACATAGAATTTAATAACAATTTCATATATAGAAATACTAAGTCAGTTTTTTTCCCAATTATTGTTTTAATGGCACCTTCAAGGCTACCTCTTTTGTAGAACAACTGAACAATCTGCTGATGGGAGACAAAATCTATATTTGTCGACATTTTTGTTTAATATGTCAGCTTCAGATGGCACCATTCATTTGTAAAGACTAAAATAGTACACACTCAGAACTTCAAAACTATATAAGAAAGAAATTGTGAGCATTATGCACCAGTCAGTGGAATACCCCTACCCGGGGAACAGCGGGACCTTGCTCTATTTCACTCTTCGCTATATGGGCCACTCCCACTTGCCTAAACACAAATAATGTCCCTGCTCTCCGGGCCCACCATACAATATCTACAAAGAATATCCGTCTAAAGGAAATAGACCAATTTGATAAATACTATCTTATTCGTACTTAATTTCGCACATCTATTAAACTGGATTCTTTTCAGTTCGATTTAGTTTTGCTCATTGTTCGGGGCCCCTAAAAACTGGGCCTATCCCTTTTTACTTAAAATTTAAGTCATATCTATGGTCCATACTGAATGCTTAAAAAAATAGAACATCTAAATGGTTTACAATAACTTTCAAGAAAATAAAACGGTGACCTAATAACACAAGAGATTGTCAGTTCGTTCGCAAAATTATCAGCTCGCTTTCATTGCTCATTCCCAGTCCTTTTTCGTTTTCAAGATGGCGGCTATGTCTAATCCCCGATATAAGTCCTGCCAAAGTCCCTGGTACTTGATAATATAACTAATACAGTCTAAATCCCTGTGTAGCATGGTCGAATATAAGGTTCAATCTCTCAATAATTCCCCGCTATTCCCCAGGTAGGAGGGTGCGGAACATTCCACTGACTGGTGCATTATCAAAAATCCTGAAATGTGGTGGTGACACAACCAGGTGGAAATGGTGAATACATGAAGGCCAGTAGGATTATTTCATATTGTGGTAACAATGGACATATCTCAGAGGTATATTTTTACAGTCTGACCATCATACCTTGTAAGGGACGGACCATTAGAAAAGTGATGGGGGGTGTGGGGAAAAAACAGGAAAAAAATCCATGCAAACAAAGAATGTTTGAAAAAAAATACATGCAAACAAACTTGTTTAAAAAAAAATTACAAACAGAACAACAATAGAACTTTCATTTTAAATGTACATTAGACAAAATTGAAGTAAATCTTTGGAATATTACGAAATATAAATATATAATATATTAATATGCAATTTCTTTCAATATTAACAGTAACTCTTATATAGTTTTATTATATACTATTAAAATATTTTCTATTGTCTTTAATAATCCTCATTCACACTGCCACTGTCCTCGATCAGTGGCGTAACTACTATGGGCTCGGACCGGGAGAACCCGGGGGCCCCAGGCTCAGGCTATAGAGCAAAAACATTGGCCAGGGCCTCTGATATGTTACAATGTCGTTTTCTGACCATCAGAATTCTGTAAAATCTCTCTCCAAACTCCGGGAAATGGTATTTCAGAGAATATAGATTCAAAAATTTTCTGGGTGAGCATGCTCTGGACCCCCTAGAAAACTTGTGCATATATGGCGCTTGACTTGTGCCTTTGGCACTTCTACTAGGGGGGCCTTCGAAAGTTTTGAACCGGGGGCCTCTGGAATCGCAGTGCCACTATCTTCTTGATCTACAACCAAACTACAACTTTTCCCTTGATATACAATTAAACTGACATTATCTTCTTGATCTACAACCAAACTACCACTTTTTCCTTCATCTACAATCAAACTGACACTATCTTCTTGATCTACAACCAAACTACCACTTTTCCCTTCATCTACAATCAAACTGACACTATTTTCTTCATCTACAATCAAACTACCACTATCCCCTTCATCTATCAAACTGACACTATCTTCCTGATCTATAAATATAATCTCAATGGCAATATCTTCTTCTACATTTTCTTTTCCTCTACTTGATCTTGCTCTTTTCTTTTATCATGTTTTGTTTCTTCCTTTTGCTCATTTGTTCTGCCATACTTATATCATAAATGATATCTGGTTTAGCCACTGAGGGTTTAGCCTAAAATATCCTTAAAGATATTATTTTGCAGTGTGCATTAAAGGGATATTTTTTGTCAAGAGAACAGTTTCGTTAACATTTGTATAGTTGTATTGGAAAAAAAATTGCATGCGAGAAGACATATTTAAAAAAAAACATGCATACACAGCTGACAACCTGGAAAAAAAATGCAAACAAAAAAAATTTACCCCCCCCCATCACTTTTCTAATGGTCCGTCCCTTAGTTAACCTTATTCAGAGACTATCCTATTTTGTGTTTCTAGTTGCAACAAGCGTCCTGAATCATCCTGAACAAGTCATCAATGGTAGCAAGATTGACGTTCAGAGTTATGAATCATGGTTGGCAAACAACAAGGTCAATAGTTTTATAATAAGCTTACTTCACTTAGTTTGTGATTATTGGAAAAAGCTTAATGAAAACTTGGACTTTGGACTCGACCAAAAGTTCTTTGTGAGGGTCTATGCTTCTATTAATAATGTTCCTAGCTTTCGCCAAAATATGTCCGAGTGTTTGTAATAATTTTTAGGTAGTTCACACACAAACCATAAGAGCTAATTTACTTGATTTAACTCAGACACAGGAAGGCAGTTCTGCGGTAGACAACCAAGAATACAGTCAACCAGAAGATGCAGCAAGTGCAGTTAAAACAATTTATGTCAGTGATATTAAAGATTCAACAACGAAAGATTCCATTACCTTGTTCTTTGAGACAAACAAACGTTCTGGTGGTGGAGACTTATGCGAGGGCAAAGAGGGATACAAGCGACTCTCAGCAACTGTTGCCCGTCTGACATTTGTTTCCTCAAAAGGTAACTCGGTCTCTAACTCTTGCATCTTTAGCTCTTGCATCCTCTTTAATTCTTTCCGTTGTTCTAATTCCATCACATCATCCTGATATTTGTCTTCCTCGGGGCATTTGATGTCATTTTTGTCTTCTTCTGGTTTCTTTCCCTTTTAACTGTGTATTCTTATCCGACGTAACTCAAATTTTTGCATTATGGTATATTTTTCTGACAAATCTCTTCCATCCTTTCTTAGCTAACTTTCTATCATCCATTTTAATCAAATATTCAAACCATTTGACATTCTTATGATATTCTTTAATCAAAATCTTCTAAGTAACTATCAATATAAAATTTCAATTTATATGTTTAGACGCACAAAATGTGCTCAAAAAAGCCAATGAAACACGGCTCAAACTGGAGGGCAATATGTTAAAAGTGAGCACTGTATTTGAGCCGACCCATGACAGAAGCATTCTACTGGCAAATAAACTTAATCCAAAGACGAGCAAAGAAACGCTTCAAAACTTTGTAGAATCAACAAAAAGTGTTGATGTTTTAAACGTTGTTTTGGGGAAAGATGGTAAAGCTATTGTGATATTAAAAAATGAAATCGGTAGGTATATATGCTTTGGGTTTGGTAATTAAATTTATGCCTGTTAACTTGTGAGTGAGAAACGTCCTAACATTTATGTTGCAGCTGGAAGAACACGTTAATATTCGATTAAAAAATTATTTTACATTTAGACGAAGAATATTCAAACGTAGTAAGCTCGGATGAAGATTTGAAGTTAGAAGGCTCCATTATTTCCCTGGAATTTGCTCCACTGACCAAAGGCATTAAAATCAGCAACATACCACCAGGAACGAGCTCAGATGATATCAAGTTCAAATTCTCAAATCCAAAATATGGTGGTAGTAAAGTGGTGGACATGATGCTCGATACAAACAATGGACACGCTAATGTTTATTTCGAAAAGTCTTCAGGTATATATCTGGCTTTTTGTGAGAGTGATACGCAGTTTGACATTTGATTAATGTTGCTTTTGCCCACTTTTGTTATGACATCGTTATTTTTGTTAATGAAAGTTTACAAGTTTAACCGCCCTAACGTTTTGTATCTTTTACAGTTGTTTCTGAACTTGTGAAAAACGAACATGTATTTCAAGAAGTTCCTTTAACAGTGATTCCATGCTATGACGAATTTGATGAACTGCAAGAAATTACAACTAAAACAACAGAATTCTGTGACGACTATCATCTCGAACCTCTCGTCATGGACTACATAATGAATCATCACGAAATTAAAACACAGTTCAAATTTAAATCAATGAAATATGATAAAGGGAATTCGACATTTCATTTTACAAAAGAGTTCGACGATTCCAAGCTCGCTCAAGAATTTAAAAATGAGTTTTTACACTCGTTTGTCAAAGAGGAAGTGAAAATCCCGGAAGCTGTTTTCGAGAAAGTCAAGGAAGCGATTGAGGAAAGAAAAGCAGAATTCGAAGGAAAGAAAGTCGATTTTAGTTTTGATGGTTACCGCGTTACTTTCATTGGAAAGAAAGAGGACGTTACTCTGGAAAAAAGATCAACAGAAGCAACGATAGATAGGATTTTAGAAGAAGCCAAGTTTGAAACAACAGAGTTGGTAATAGAGGACAAAAATAAACTGAAGTTCTTAAAATGTATCGATTATTTCAAGAATGTTATGACAGAATTTCCCGGAGTAAAAATCCATGGTATATTATCTGGGAAATTATCACTTGTAGGAACGGCAGAGAAACACAAAGATGTCCATTTACGGATCTTTCAGGATTTGGTGAAGATTTCGGAGATTGACGTAAAGATGAGTGATCGTCAGATAGAATTTTTGAAGCGGACTAAATGCCAGATTGTGAACAGTGTGTTAAAAAAAGATGACGTCATGTTAATGTTACAGACCCTAAGAGGAGTTGTGGGTGCTAAAGGCTTCCAGGCTAAAATTATGACCTTGAAGAAATGTGATAATACTGAGGTAATACTAAATAAGATAAAGTACATTGAGGTCTGTTTACCTCGGTGGCCGAAGTTTAATTCTTATAAGTATGCAGTTATCTGATTTTAATTTCACCACAGTTGAGTTTTCTTTACCAAACACAACAGGTTTTCTCTCTTGGTACCCTGGTATATCTTACTGTTGTGACACTGCAGAATCAATAAGGGATGACACTTACTAGACCTCTTCAGTAGGGAGAACAGTTTAGAACTGATAGCGCTATCCATTAGAAATAAAGATAGCCTAGTTTAGGTTTCCTGCTGTGGTAACACTAGACCAATAAAGGACAACCCTAATTGGTCTTACTGATTCCATTGTAGAACTGTCTACTTTAAATAACGTTTTGTAACCTTTTACGCCTCGTTAAAAGTGCTAGCCATACAAATCAGTAAAAAGAGATAATTTTTACAGGAAGAACGACTTCTGCACATCATCCATACGAAGACCTCAGAGAAATGCATCGGAGTCGACGAGGAGACAGCAAGCTTCCTGACAAAGTCAAAAAAACTACAAGAGTTCAAGAAGGGAATATATGATAAACATCAAGTCTTTATCGACCCAAAACTCGCAGATCTTTGCAATATCTGGATCGTCTGTGAAAAATCCAAGATGGACAACGCCGTAAAAGAACTAACAAATCTAATTAACGAAAAGAAGATCGGGAGCAGGAAATTTGGACCAATGGATCCGATGAAATTTCGTTTTTTAAGGGCCCACTGTTGGGGAAAAATTAAACAGAAGGAAAAAAGTTGCAAAGCTGAAGGCATTGCCGTTCAGAAAATTGATTCTGATTCGCTTGAGGTAAAGGGAACACAAGCAGGCAGAAAAGATATGATATTTTTTCTTGAAAAGTTGGTTGGAAATGTTCACTTTAAGGTACGTATTTCGTTTATGCAGTAAAAGACGGAGAGATGATAGAGTAAAGGCTCTTTCGTGTGTTCCCTCTCGCCCTTTTCTGTAAACTTTTAAATAAAAGGTTGGGTTTCTTTGCCACAATTGGTGGGTTTCAGTAAGCGTTATACAGCCTATCAGTGGTAGGATATAAGCCCTGATAGTATTCTGATGATGGAATTGTTTTGTTTTAAAACAGAACTTCTCTCTGACTGAACCTGGGATGAAAAAAGAAATGAGCATGCACACAACGACCGCAATCATTTCTGACATTGAGGAGAATTACAACTGCGTTATTCAACGAGAAACTCAACCAGAGGAGACTCACGCAGAGAAGACTGAAGAAGCCACTGTAGTAGCAGACGGAGGGACAACCGCAGGGGCCGGTGGTCCATCCATGTCCTTCGTCAACGATAAGGAAGTGAAGATGGCCTCGGGAAAAAGAATAACGATAGTTGTGGGAGATCTGGCTTATGAAAAGGTGTTGTGTGACACAATGGTTTGTTCATGCATGCACGTTTGACCTTTGTGATCCGGATCTGATTCGTGCAATATACAATAATTCTTGTTTGCGAGAAGGAAGCTTCCAGTTTGACTTTACCGAACTCTTCAAATAGTTCGGTTTCTTCCTGACATAACACTGCAGTAAAAGCGATGTTCTTACTTGACGTCTAGAGAAGAACGGTTTAAACCTGTGTAGAGTCATTTTAGAGCTTTTTTACTAGACATCTAGGGAGAAGAGTTTAGAATTACAACTAATATGGCAATATAAACTCAATATAAATAAAGTTAGGTTACTTTCTTGAGGTGCTTAATTAAAATTTCAGGTCAATTGAGAAAGACTTCATTTTCCTTCCAGGTGGATGTGATTGTAAATACAACCAATAGCAATGTGGATTTGACGGGCAACGCGTGTGGAAGGGCTTTACTTAAGGTGGCTGGTAAGGAATTGTTAAACGAATGTAAGAAAATCGGAAGTCTTCAAGCGGGACAAATGGTTTCAACTGGACCGGCCAAACTGCAGTGTAAACGCGTGTATCATGTTTGCTCATCAGCATGGGACAACGGCAAAGGAGCACCGGTAATGCTATTTTAATTTCTAGTTTTGTTGACTTGTAATAACTGCTATGTCAGATTGTGCAGGAGGTAATTCATTTTCTCGCATGTTGACTATATGTTGTACAGAACCTGTAGCTACATTAAGCATAGTTAGATCATACAAAGAATATGGGATAATATTAACAATCGATAATGTTTTAAATTCAAAATTTTTGTTTAGATTCTACGTACGCTCATCAAAGAATGTCTGGACCAAGTCGAGAAAGACAAATTAACATCCATTGCCCTCCCCGCCATTGGCACTGGAAATTTGCATTTCCCGCGTCCAGAAGTTGCGAAAATCTTTTTCGAAGAAACTACCGCCTACCTTACTGCGCATCCTCAGTCGACCATTAATGATGTTCGCTTTGTAGCGTATAGTGGCGACAAAGCAACAGTGGACGCATTTCTAGGTTTGTTGTCCAACTTATATGCTAAATCTTTAATTGAAGAGGGTTGCTAGTCTTAATATCCAAGATAATTTACTGGTGGCCCCCAACTGGCCCTTTTCATAACGGAACACATGTGTTAAAACAATCGGTGACTAGTGGCGATATTCAAAACAATGAAAAAACATAA